AGAGAAAGAACAAGAGAGAGAGAGAGAGAGAGAGAGAGAGAGAGAGAGAGAGAGAGAGAGAGAGAGAGAGAGAGAGAGAAAGAGAGAGAGAGAAGGGCAGAATAGGAGGGAGTGTAATACAGTGTTGTAATACTTTCATACAAATTGTACGCGCTTATGAGAGATAATGAGAGGCGGCCGTTGCAAGATTTAATGGCTGTCACGACTTTCTCAGAAACAGTTATACATGCGCCTTATGCTTTATATTGCCTCAGTTAGAATGTACGTATATCGTGTAGTCTAAAATTATCCACCCGGTGTTTGAAGCTGCGAACATGTCTCGATCGTTCAATAGCCCCGCATCGTGTTCGTGCATGAGCTCAAAGTCTGACTCGACGTTAAGCGTCGTGATTGGTCGAGCCTGAAGCAAGTAGATCTGGCCATCTTTAACGGCAAACTCTATATCTCGCGGATCCGAAAACAGTTGCTCGACCTAAAGAAAATAGGGAACATTTTCAAAGGAATGGCAATATCCGTGCACATATTCATTTAAATACATCCACAATGCACACGTGCTCAGACATAACACGCAACCTGCATGCGTATATTATATAGGTATATAAATATTTCTAGTTATCTATTTTCTTCAATTAGATCAAACCTGTAGGCCAATTCTTCCGAGTTCTAGAGCCACCTCATCTGATACGCAAAATGTGTCTTTATCATCCGTTTCCTCTTCAGCAATGCCTCCCGCACCTGCAAATGTTTCACATTTACTTGGAATTTGTCGAATAACGGCTTATGTATATATTATTAAAGTTATACTAAACAATGTAACGATAACGATTATAAATTGGATATGAACTAAAATCACAGACCACTGTCCAGAACGATCTTTATCCTCTTGCTTCCTATGATCTTTTCCTTCACGGTGAGTTTATCAGAGAAGCTTCTCTGCAGATAAATTGTGTCCGGCTCTATTACTCCGGAGACAACTGCCTGGAGAAATAAGAATAAGCAGAGTGCTACATGAGAGTACTAAGTAATATTCGTATACGCGTAAATTACATTTGATGATAGTGCATATGAAATTTTATTTTTTGCGAATATTACTGGGAAATCGTGAGTAAAATCAAACAATTAGAACACCCTTCCGATGTTTAATTTTTCTCCCGCTAGTAAATATACACATACGCATACGCATACGCACACGCACACGCATACGCACACGCTCACGCACACGCACACGTATACAGATATGCATACACATACGCATACACATACATATACATATACCGATCTACATACACACACGTGTGCGTGCGTGCGTGCGTGTGCGTAGGTGTATGTGTTGGAATAGCTGCTGCGATATGTATGCACCTCTCCCAAGCCATATGACGCATTGATGGTCATGACACCAGGGTTGCCAGACACTGGATCTCGCGTGAAGAGCACACCAGCAGCATCTGCCTTCACCATCTCCTGTACGCAAACGCCAATATATGCTGCTACACCTTGCCCGTGGTTCCTGTAATCAGTATTTCAGTAATAATCCTCTGTAGTACACTGTACAACATACTAAATTTATTTCAGTATGCTAAAAATTATAATGAATCATAAATACATGTCCTATAACTAATATGATGTTGGTGTATGCATGGGAAATACCATGCATATTACAATGTACATGTCGGATTAGTGTGTTAATATAATTCATAAGTACAAATATAATAACACATAATATACTACGAGGGGAATCCCAGGGTGGGTAAGTGAGGAATTAACGAAAAATACTAAATAGCTAGCCTTAACTAATCGTTTCAGTTCTCAGTTCTCCAGCGATGCATTATTATTCTACGGTAAGTTTTCCGGTGTTCTATGCCATATAATAAGATTATACCTCCTGTATGCCACAGCTTGGTATTTGAAGGAAGAGGACCAGCACTTCACTATCGCATGAAGAATCTGTAAACAAGTTTGCAATTTTGTAAGTGAAAAATAAATGGAAATGGAACATGACGTTGTATGTGATTTGTTTGTTTGTTTGTTTGTTTGTTTGTTTCGTTTTGTGTTGATGTCTGTTGTTGTCGGTGTGATGTGTGTGTCCGGTGGTGTGTGTGCTGTGTGGTGTGTTGTGCTGCTGGTATGGTCGCTGTCTGTGTGTGTGTGAGTTTTGTGTCGTGCTGTGCTGTGTCTGGCCCCCTGTGTGTGTTGTGTTGTATTGTGTGGCTGTGTGGTGTATGTGTATGTGGATGTGTGTGTGTTTTGTGTGGTGTGTGTGTGGTGTGTGTGTGTGTTGTTAGTGTCTGTGCGTGTGTGTGTGTGTGTGTGTGTGTGTGTGTGTGTGAGTGTGGTGTTGTTGTTTTGTGTAAGCGTGTGTATGTGATGCTGCGCGGTCGCGCGCGCGCGTATGTGAGTGCGTGCGTGGTACCTGTCCACTACGCTTGTTGTACGCGTGTTTTGTCGTTGTTCGAAGTATAGTCATCGCGCATCGTCCTTGTTCGAGAGAGACAATGATCGGGCTTTAACCCTCGTTCGTCGTCCCGTTTCACGCCCAGGGAAACGTCTCTAAATTGGCATGCGAATGATGCTCCGCCCCATCCTCTCCTGTTTGACGAAGAACACAAAATTATCCTGCAGTAATATTCGCTTCATCTATTATATTTTATCTAATAGGGCTCCTATATTACTCCTCATTTCATCTGAGTATAGACATTGGTATTTTTAATCTTATAACCGTTCGACATTTTATACTCGATGATCGATGATATATAATATTCATATATATATATCTACTTATAGAAATCTTATCATTCTAATATCTATATGCGTAGTTTTTCAAAACGAAACTCACCAACACCTGACGAACGAACAGCAAACGAGGTCCTGTGTCCAGCCATCGCCAAGCGCTGCAGTCAGTTGACCAACTACTGCCGTTTTGAATTCCGTAACTCAGTTTAAGTTTTATGAAGTTATCAACTCACGTTTCACGCATTTTTGCGTGTAGGTCACCAACTTCTTTCTCTGGCTATACGAAAAAAAAAACAATATATATATAACTGTTGTGCGCGGGCCGTGCGTACTACGTGCAGCGTTGTGTGGTGCGTTGTACAGTTGCGCGTTTATGTGTACGCGCGTGTGATATCGTTGTTGTGCACGGAGCCATCACTGACTCTATAGAATATACTATACATATAAATCTACTATAATATATATAAATAATATATATAATCATATTATATATAATATATTAAATAATATAATAAATATAATATCATATATAGTATACACGTATATATATATCATATATTAATATGCATATACTAGCTATGCTATATAATATAATCATTATATATATAACTCATATAACTCTCATAATAGTATGATTAGTCTATAGAGATCAGTTGTCCGTCGGCGCGGCACGTGTATGTGTGTGTGGGTGTGTGCGCGTTGACGTGGCCTCGCACACTCGCCTCATGCCAAGACGAGTAGCATATCTGCTCATAATCACGCACTACTCCACTCCCGAGTATCATAGTATATCGACAATGCACAACACAAATCTATCTAATAATTCTATACAACACAGAGTATGATTACCCTATACGGCGGAGCAATGCTTTTCAAACTCTTTACTTGTTTACACCTGATAGCCGCGCCAACCCTATTCCCGTAGAAAGGACAGTCTACCGTGAATTCAGCTTATTTCAAATAAACAAATGATAATGACAATAAAACACGACGATAGCCGTAGAACTAATAGGAAAAACTAATAATTAACTAGGCAGTCCTTCCAGGCCTTGAATGCAATCTCTTTAGATGGCTGGTTATCTTCCAAGTGCAGTTTGTAAGGCAGCTACTTCAGACAGAAACCACCAGGTACAAGGCTCTGTGGATAGACAGAGAATATCACCATCACAACTGTGGATCAATTTGGTCACAATTGTTGATAGATATAACAGCTTTTCGCTATAAGAAACTAGAGGACTGCGTATTCTTTTGTACTAATTATTTATAGAAGTGACTGAATTTAAATAGTAAACTGTTAGTTGCAACTATTCCTAAATTTAGATACAGAATTATGCTGCTTATATCTAACATTGAATATTTCAATTTAACACCATTATAGGTAGCTAATAGTTAATCGGTAAGGCATAGTAAAGTAAGTAGGCTATTATAAGATTAGTAAACTTAATGTACGGCAACTAACATAATGTAGTTAATTGCTTACCTATTATAGTAATAATATTTACATTAATAAACAATTACGAATTACATTAAAATAATAGTTAATTAAAGCTCATTAACTGTCATTGGCAATTATACTAACGCATCACTGTAACCCAACATTACAGCTGGCCAGTACTAACACTATCTAGTTTATGTTCCTTATAAACAATTATCAAATCTATTGAATCTGGAAATACTACTAATGATATGCGCTGTTAATAAATTCTAAAAACGTGTAAATTAAATCCTTTAATTAGTTCTCTGTGATTTACTGACTGCAGCCTTTCCGGTAGTTGGGTTAGTAGGGCTCAAACTGCTGTTCCTTTGCCCCCGAACCATTGAGAGGCAGAGCACGAGGCAGCACTGAATGGCATATGTCAATGCTGCCCCGTCCAACGCATCTGTTATGTCTGCTGTCAGTAATGGTAATGCATCTACTATAGTATCTATAATATATATATTATACGTATATATATATATATATAGTATATATATATTTTATCTATATTTATTTATTTATTTTATCTATAGTATATATAGAAGGTAACTCAAGAACCTATACATTTTTGTCTTTTTCAATATCTTTGGCTAAAATCGTAGAACATAGATCCTCAGTAAAATGTGTTCCATTGGTTTCATTAACAGGCTTCGTCGAGCAAGGCTATTCGCTGCTATATGGGTGAGGTTGTTAGCTTTGCACTGGCGAGACAAGTACAATAGGTATCAACTGAAGTGAATCACAGGATATAGTATATTCCCCAATAACGCATTTTTCTCTTTGTCGACAACGAAATTTAAAGGGGGAAGCGGTATAACGCAAGAAACACAAGCTTGCGTGCTTGGGTGTGCGTGCGTGGGTGGGCGTATCGTTTATTATATATTAATTATTAATTATTGTTATTAGTTATTTATTAACTATGATCCCTAGTATTACTACTAGGCCTATACACTTACAGTATTATAATATATTATCAACTTATTATTAATCAGTAGTACAATTCAGTAATAGTATACTACCTAGAGATTTGAGCATGGTGACTGATCTTCGCTCAGGTACAGGATACGTTCCTTCGTGCCTGAAGGAAAAAATTGAAAAACGCCAAAATATACAACTAAACTACACCAAGGTAAGATACTATGCCAACCCTGTATATAACGGCCACTCAAAAGAAACGCCAAAAGTGGCTTTTGTGCACAGATGGCCCTGCTGTAGAGATTTTACTGTATAGCTGTTGTCATTTTCACGGCTATTCTTACAGAGTTTAAGGGACGAGGAATTTAAGGGATTTAAGGAATTCAATGGGCATTAGGCTCATCAACGCCGGAGCACCTGCTTTTTCTTGTTTCAAAATTTCGTGCTCACTAGAGTCGGAAGCTACCGCCAATTTGGACACACCTGTACATGTATTCCGTAACGCCCCAGCCTTTGACTCCATTCATTGTTACGTCCGTGAACTGTTCGTGAATCCTAACGCTCCATCTCTCCCCCACATAGAGAATCTGCTCAAGCTTTGTCTCCGTTGTTATATCGCAGTCAATCTGACCTGCAAACAGAACATCCAATAGACGTTTACCATGATTATTAGATTATGGATACTGTGAGTTTGAATATGTGATACAATGGTCATGTCTCTATATATCGGCCAAGTGCCCGTCAGCAAAAACATCATAAATAGGTATGATTACTATATTAGTTCTAGGAAAATGTCATAACTTTTGCGCAAACACTTCATTTGCAAAACATATGACGTCCAAGAAATATGATGTCATAACGCCATGATATTTTTGACAACGGGTCCCAGTATTTTCCAACCTCATAGATCCCGACGCATTCTCAGTAAATTGCCGAAACTTCCTTAAGCCCGCCGCACACGCTGTGTTTTGTGCTGCGCCATCGGCCACGCATGCAAACGCATCGATTTCTTGCGTGTGGAAAATATCACACGTGTTATTGCACAGCGTCTGCGTAGGGAGGGACCCCTACGTCTGCGGAGTGGCTGTGTCAAGTTCCACACCGGCTCTATGTAACCGACCAATAGCAGCAGGTCAAGCGAGTCACGTGATCTTAACTTGCGGTTGCAGCGCGGTTGCACTGCGGTACACGCACGTGCACGCAGATACACGCACGTAAACGCGGGTACACGCACGTGCACGCGGGTATACGCACGTACACGCGGGTACACGCACGTACACGCAGGCACACGCACGTACACGCGGTCACACGCGGATACACGCACGTGCACGCGGGTACACGCACGTAGCCACGTACACACAGATACACGCACGTACACGCGGGTACACGCACAACGTACACGCGGGTACACGCACGTACACGCGGGTACACGCACGTACACGCAGGTACACGCACGTACACGCGGGTACACGCGGATACACGCACGTACACGCGGGTACACGCGGATACACGCACGTACACGCGGGTACACGCGGGTACACGCACGTACACGCAGGTACACACACGTACACGCGGGTGCACGCGGATACACCCACGTACACGCGGGTACACGCGGATACACGCGGGTACACGCGGATACACGCACGTACACGCGGGTACACGCACGTACACACAGATACACGCACGTACACGCGGGTACACGCGGATACACGCACGTACACGCGGGTA